GAGAAATCCTCCTCTTTTCCAACCTGCAGGAGGTCTGGAAAGACAAACACAGGAGAAAGACGTAATGTTGGAGGGGAAAGATAAAACACTTCACCTTAGTTTCCATGCATATAAAGATGCTTTGAAAAGTAAATCCTAAAATTCACTAAAGTGATTCAATTATAATCATAGGCGGATCTACTGGCAGGGCTCGATGGTAAGTCGTTTTTATTGATGGGAGAGTACAAATTTCATTGCATTTGCCCGCCGGGCAATGATCGCAAAAAAAAAAAAATACTGAATTACAAAAAACATTTAAAAAACAAACATGTGTCATTGATCTATATACAAAAATGAATATTAGGAACTATATTTATCAAATATTATACTGGGCAAGTAAAAATTGGTTCTGGGCAAATGAAATGTGAAAGTCGGGCAAGTGGTAAAAATCCTTATCATCAACCCCTGACTAGGGTGGCATAGAGTGGCAGATGCCCCCCTAAATGACAGCCCTGCCACCCCTGCTGTCGGACTGCAGTGAATGCAGCACGGGATGACGCCAGAGCGACTGAGACTGATTGTTTTGAAAACCGAGCGGGGCAAAGCGAGGGAGCCAATGTTACAAAAGGTTATATTGATTGGATTGAATATTGAGGCAAAGGAGAGTCCTTCCACTCTCATGGAGTTTACTCAGTTTGTGGACCCATACCAGGATGTTGTTCAGGTTGTGTAAAATAAGGGTCGTTTTACCTGTGAGCAGTAAATCCTGCGAACAAAGTTTTTCATCTCTCAGGCTCATAAAGATGTATTTGTGTTCAACTATGACAGAAAATAAGACTTTCCAGTTTGGTTGTAATCAGCATGGAATCAAAACACACAAAGGCATTGGATCTAGATAAATTTGTGTTTTGCTGAGCAACATGGAAATCACTGCATTCAGCTGTTATAGTCATGTTAACTTTATGTTCTGCTCTCTGGTGAACCTTTACAGAGCTGCTACATTTTGTTTTGGCACCTGAGAAAATCTGATATTTCCTTTAATAAAACCAAAAGTGTTAAAAGTTAAAAATGTGATACCAGTGTTGTTGTTTCTTTTTTTGTATATATAGTATGAAATTATCCAGTAATGACCTGTATGAACCTTCTCACTAAATGTTTTCTACTTTTTCAGACTGGAAGCAAAATTTATTTTTTGTTGCTTCTTTTCAGATTAGTGGAGATTTTGATGTAACATGCAGTACCTGCATTTTTGTTGATTTGTTGATACAGCAGCTCTATCTACAGCAGATCTACATGCAGGAAATGTCCCTTTCATGTTGCTGCTGTATGTCACGTTACTGAGGAGCAAATGGGGTAAATGTGTGTTCAGAGTAAACATTACATAGATGTCTGTTACCTTGTTTGGGTGCCTTGACCCATTTATTTCTACTGTGTAGTTCTGCTCACTTTAGTCCAGCTCAGTCCATAGATCTATGATGGGGAACTTTTTCTTTCTATAGTTTCTTCTTGGTCAAATGCTGCAAAGCTGCCTCTCTGACAGTCAATCTCACTCATCTGAGACTCAGCACCTGTGTCTTACCTTTAAATACCTGTGATAATGCCCATCTAGAAGTAGTGTTATCATTCTTCTATA